GTTGGTAGTTTTAGCTTGTGTCCTACTTGTAGCTTTTAGCTGACAGGTTGGTAGTTTTAGCTGGTGTCTAAGTGGCTACTTGTAGCTTTTAGCTGGCTGACATGTTGGTAGTTTTAGCTGGTGTCTAAGTGGCTACCTGTAGCTTTCAGCTGAGCCTCAACTGTTTACACTCACTACAGTGTGTGTTGAGATCCTGTCACGACCTCGGCTCCTCGCTCAGTCACTCACCCGCTCAGCCCAGGCGAAGATGACGTCCTCCTCCAGCAGGTCGGCGTCGTACAGGTCCTTCAGGATGATGGCGACGCGCGGCAGCAGCAGGACCTGATGGAGCTTCACCACACACTCAAAACCTCCCAACAGATACTTCTGGGCCTTCTTGTTGTTGTGACAGAACTGTGGACAGATTGAAACCAGGTCAGAGTCGTTCRGGAGCAAATATTCTCCTCTAAACTTTAACAAGTTTTAATCCTGCCTCAGTAGAGGAGGAGGGGCTGCTTCAGAACCGTTTACTGGGTCGAACAATGTTTTAATCAGACAGAACCAACAAGGAAGCAAAAAGTAAAGAATTAGAGAAAGATCAAATGCTAAATCGTAAACAAATTTTAATTAAGAGTTCTACATCTAAAAATTATTTTATTCTTTTAATCTATTTTCCTCATTCAGCAACCTATTAAATTTATGTTATGTTTCATGTAGGAGAAATACACATTTTTTTCAGTCAGTATTTAATACAACTGGCAAAATAAATTGTAAAAGTATTTATGATGTGCTTGTTTTTTAATTCAGCAGATTATAAAAAAGCCTTTATTTTATGAAAAGACCCTCTTGATTCAAGAGAAAACTGTTTTTTAAGAAAATGGCTGCTTATCAATTAATTGTTAATATACAAGATATATCAACTTCAGATTAATTCATTAATCAATAACCTGCATCCTTAATTTATACAGGAAAGTAATTTATATCTACTCATTCATGTAATTAAGAGTTTTAATGACTTGTCCGATTAATCGAAAAAATAATAAACAGATTAAATTGATTATTAAAATAATCKTTAGTTTCAGTCCTATTCAGAACCGGTCCATAAACCGACAGGTCTGCAGACCCTCCAGTGACCAGGCTTTAATGTCCTGTGATATGAATATTCATGAAATACAAAAAGTCAAAGAAAATATTTATATTGAAGAAACTTGGCATAATACAAGACTTGAACCGTTACGACACATAATTGGCATGTTTTCTTTTGAATTTTGCTCAGCTAAAGTGAAACAGGAAGTGACATCAAAGGGAACACTTTGACAAAGAACACTTCCTGTTTTTGTTTATTGAAACAATATTTGAAATATGGCTCATCTCTCTCTGATAGTGATTAAAAAATTCTAAAGAAACAGATTCTTCTCTACAGTCTGCGCTGTTAGCCATTTTAGCAACACTGTTTACATGCAGACATTCCCCTATGACATCACTTCCTGTTACTTCACATGAAAATATCTCAACTGTTCATCTCAGCAGCGTGAAATCTTTTTAAAAATATATTATTAATGTTATCTTTCCAAAAATACATTYATATTTAWTATAAAAAGTGATGTCACAGGCACTTTAAGGAGGCCTTAACGAGGAGTTGAGTCTGAGTTGTCGTAGCAACGTACCCGCAGGAAGTGGCGTTTGTACTTTTTGATCTGGTCGCGGATGTTCTCGTTGAAGAGAAGCTCGCTGAGGATGAGAGGTCCCATGGCCTTCACATCCAGACGCTCTGCCTCCGCCAAGATCTCTTTATCAGCCCCGTCGATGGTTCCGCTCTCCTTCTTTTGCTGCGGTTAAATAAAGAACGGATATTTTCATGTTGTTGTTTTTGTTTACTTGTGTTGGTCGGGCTGAGGTCTGAGGGYGAGGCTCACTTTGACAAAGTTGTAAAACAGGTTGACCCTCTCCTCCAGAGGTTTCTCCAGGTCGTCGCTCAGCGTCAGGTTCTTGGCGTGGTCGCTGATCTCCTCCATGCGACGCCGCTGCGCCTCCTCCGTCGTCTCCTCTGCCCAGTCTTCATCGTCGTCGTCTCTGTCCTTCAGTCCAGAGGGACACACAGAACCAGAACATGTTTAAACTCTGAGTTTCAGTTTCTGTGGAGTTTACACCTTAAAGCTGGTTCTGGTTTAACTCTGGTGGCTTAAAGCTGCACAATAAACCAATTTAATAAATTATCACATCAGAGAAAAAAAATTTAATAAGGCAGACTGCTTGGGTTGCAATAAATCATAAGCTGGTTTTCAAATATGTATTCATCTTCTATGAACTGATCCACAGACGTAACCATGAACACAACTTAAATACTACAAACACAAAAACAACCGTGCAGCTAAAGAAAAACACATTTTATTAAAGGGATCCCCGATTAGTTGTAACATTAGACTTTATTTGATAAACATACTTTAACTGTAAAATAAAGACTGTAAAAATACTGTAGGATGTTTAGTTTTTATCATTTTTAAACTAAAAGTTTAAAAATATATTTTAACACGGACGGAGCCATTTTATTTCCACACAAAGCATTCTGGGTAAATGATGACGTGGATAGGTCCTCGGTGCGAGGC